GATGCCACCCAAGCCTTCCACCCTTATTATTTGGTACCAGACTTTACAGGAGGACAGAGGCGCCGATTTTTACATCCGCGGTCACTACAAGTTATTGTATTGACCAAATGCGCAATCAATCAACTCTAATAATCTCGACAGGCATCGAATGCATCGGCGCATTCCAGAAATGGGATCGATAGACGAATAATTAACTCGATTTTGAACTTTATGGATGCTCCCAAGTTATAGAGGGCAACACCACCCACAGGCGGAATATGCCTTGTGTTCGTCAGGGGATAATGGGCAGTACAACTAATGAAATGGTGCCTTTCCCATGAACGATTAGCTGCAGCTTTATGAGTCGTATTGTTGATTTTTTCCATAGATTCAATTCAGCCCACTTTTTAGAAAAAGCCGCAACGTGTCGCGATACACGTAGAGTGATCAAGCGTCTTGAAGTCACCGTCGTCGTGTTCGTCTTTTCGTGGTACATGGCTATTCTCGGGGTGAACGTTGGATATGCGCTTGGTTTGAGCGAAGATGGCCTGTCTATATGGCAGTCAGCTATGGTAAGCTGCTGAATAACTTTGTAATTCAAAGTAAAATGAATTTAGCTGAAGAGAGGCTTCATACTTTCCAGGTTTTCTTTGGTCTTCTTTGCTACAGTCAGACGTTCTTCGTATGCTTATGGCGCTCTGCGGAATATCGTGAAAGTTTCGTGGAGCAGCTCCATATTATGCTTGGCCGTCGTTATCAACGGAAACCTGGCACTGGCACTTCATCAACAGCAAAAGTCGTCGTTCAACCGATAACAAAATCATAGTGGAGATTTCTGTATAGCCTTTTGAATCGTTATTGCTTTAACAGTTTAATAAACAGTGAAAATTAATCTCAACTGGCTGTAAATATGATGCTCTTAGAATAGAATCTATCTTTGAGTACCACTGAGCTACTCTGTTGTACTTTGTTTACAATCAATCGTAAGTACCATGGGTAAACACCCAGCATCAAACTCATTTAGATCGTATTAATCAACTTAAATCATAGTTTAGAATGGTACTCACCGTAATGTCAAGCGAAGGGCTACCACATGCGAGGTGAGGGGATCGAATCCTTGATCGATAATTGATCTAATCAGCCAAGCCTTCCATACCGTGCCGATCCTTTTGACTTCACAATTAAAAAAAGAAGAGAGGAGAACGTCCTCAATTGATGACTAAACCATCGACATTTTCATAAATTTCCATTGTAGTGACTGCGAAGGTTTACAGTATCCTATTTAGAGACTTCCTCATCGTCATCAAAGTCAAAAAACCGAAACCGCTCAATGAGAATATTGATGCATATGAAACCACGTTAAAAACGGATTGAACATAATGAAATGATAGAATTAAACATGACTCGTTCCACCTCTTCGTAGGAATGGTCGAGGTCTCAGTTCCCCTGAGGCCCATTTCAAAGATTTCATATTGGGAGAAAAAGCCTAACTGAAAAACTGCAGATTGTGAAGGGTTTTCTGAACTTTGAAATTGCTGGTTCATTCTCTGAAAATCCAATGGAGATTGGGTGTACGGTACACGTAATCGTTGTTTACTGTAGGTATGTACGGTAGGCTCTTCTCGGTGAAACGCTCTTCCAATAGTAACTTCTTTTTCTAGTGAAGAAATTCGAGAAAAATTTTGGTATATCAAATTTTACCTTGAATCAAACCGATTTATTTGTCTTGGCTTCTTAAGGCTTTCCTACGACTATGTGCAAAAGTTTCACTGCTGAAGCGATTTTTCCTGATTGCTCCCATAGGCCTGTCTTGGCTGGTAACGCTCGAACGTTCACACGTTCAGAAACAACAGAAGGCGTGATTACTTTGAACGTGGTCACCTTCTCATAGAGTTTGTCGCATGTCGCAAGGTCGAACATGACTTCGTTGTTCCGCTTACCTTCAAACTTTACACCTCTCCTTCGGGAGACGAGCAGTAGGAGCGGTTTTGGGTAATCAATTCGCCGCACGCGCTGTCGCGAACTTCGTTTCGCCATTATTACGGCTCCAGCGTTCTTCATACAGCTCGATCGCTATGCGATTATTACTTTTGGCATGTTTCTACCGTTAGTTCTTTAGGTCCTGTATTTCTTACTTGCTGCTGANACTTTGAAATTGCTGGTTCATTCTCTGAAAATCCAATGGAGATTGGGTGTAGGGTACACGTAATCGTTGTTTACTGTAGGTATGTACGGT